TACCAGGCCACAGCGACCAGATGGAACCCTGCACCCCAAGGTGACACTGAAATACGTTGCAACCCAACGGAAACATTTTGCTCCATTACCTGATAAAAGCCAAATGCCCCCACCCCTCAGGGCTGGTGCGGGTGCTGGTACACATCTCCACACCTGGCCCTTTCCCTCCCTTGGCAAAGTAAAAATAAAACCTTCACTCTCTGTACTTTTTCTCTTTGTGAATTCTTCCACAGCCAGGTAACTGACCACCCTAATGCAGATGTCAGGCCATGCCCTGACCAACTGAATCAGAGTCCGTGTGTCAACAAAATGTCCAGGCCAGCTGAGTGCGCAATGAGTTTGAGAAGCCCTGGATTAAGGCAAGCACCTCATTTATCATTAATTCAAACACTTGGGGCAAATTGCTTTCAGGCTCAGCTCTGCAACCTAGGACTACACACAGGTGCAAAGATGAACAGGTACCTGCTGTGGAGGGTTGGTTTAGTCCCGGCCCAGGAATTAGCATTGTTCTGAGCAACGCTTCACCTCCAGCCACATGCCAAAAGGGTGCCACTGGCCACTCAGGACATGGGACTGATACAGTGGGCAGGTAGACAGGCCCCGGGCAGAGTGGGAATGATAGGGCAGGTTCAGAAGGTGGCCAGGACAGAATGCCCCGAGGGGCCTAGCAAGGGGCAAAACTGGGAGGGCAAATATCGTAGGGAGAGACCTACACCCCTGGGTGACCTTTCTTCTCCTAGCATACCACCGGTCATGGGGGTTAGATCCTCTGACCTTTCATAGCTGATCATGTGGTTGAGACCCTCCCCTTGAAACCGGAAAAGCCTGTCACTACCAGACCCAATGAGCAGAGACAGGGATCGAATCTTTATGCGCGCTTTATTCAGATAGTTGGTGATCTGAGAAGATGGCAGGTTATGTACCCTAACAGATGGTCTAAAATTCCATTTTAAACCAACCCTTTTTATAAGGAGGACAAAAGTGTAGGTAAGGGGTTTGGAATTCAGGGAAAAGTTAAGCAGAGAAAAATCTGCAGCATTCTTTCATCTGTGTCCTGGGCAGTGGTCTTTACCTGTATCCTGGGAAGTGGGTGTCTCACCCTGGAGCACAATGGCTCAGGTACCATCTTGATTGCTTGCAGTCCTCCTGACCCGCAGAGGTGGAACTGCTTATGGTCTCCTGGAGTCAGGGTGGGTCATACCTTCAGTTCCTGGAATGATAGCTTTTACACGCATTGATTACTAAGCTTCTTAGCTATTATTACCTGAACTAAAACTTCTAACATTTGGGTCCCCCATCACCCTGACCTTTCCTCCCTGGCACGCAGTCAGTCAGTAGTAGACCCCCTCAGACTAGGAACAAGGGAGCTGGATAATAATCTCATTCCCTCATACGAGTCCTTGCATGGCCACCCCCTCAAACATTAAGATAACATCTAGGCCTCAGCTGTGTTTCAGCTCCAGGCCCAGACAAGCAGCAAGGCCAGGCAGGCACGGCTGATCTCAGGACCTGCTTCAAAGGACCAATGACCCCTGGTAACGACCAATCAGTAGAGACCATGACCACTAAAGGACACATCTGGCAGCTGATGACTATTCCACTGATATTTTCCCCTGAGACCTCCAGATAAAACCCCTTCTTTCACCCATGTAACTTGTTTGCTAAGTCCACACAGTCCAGTCAGCTCCTTTCTTCTACCTCTGACTTTCTAAATGACCTTCTGCATATATTTGAGTCTTGGCTGTGAATTCTTTCTTAGCCAGACTCATGGACTGAGGTGCAACATCTGGTGCTGTTCGCTCATTGACAGGAATAGATGGTGCTGGTCTGGGGGGCAGATAGTTAACGGGTGTGATCCCCTGACCTCTGTCCTCTTCCCCACTCACATTTTACCATCCTGTCTTTTATATACTTGTTTGTCTACTGTCCACCTTAAGCAAGGAGTTTTTTGAGGCAGATGCCAATCTTCTTTGTGTCTTTAGCCCCTGCACAGGGTCTGGAGAATAATAGTGTTTTATAATGCAAATGAATGAATGAGACAGACAGGAGGGAAACACATGTAGGATATCCAGTTTTATTTTCTGTAATCATCTCTTAAAATGGGGAAATGGCCTGGGATGTTTGTGTTGAAGTACCCGAGGTGGGACGGAGAAAGCTCCTTGGGCAGGTTTCTGACCAGAGGGAGCTCCACGCTGGCCTTTCTTGCCAAATGAACTCAACTACACCAAGGGCAAGCTGATGACAATCAGGAGGAAAGGGGGCCAAGGAAGAACCCGTTTCACTGACTCAGTTCTAACCGTCACCACTTAGTCACTTCCAACAGCAAGTGAACTTCAGTGCGAACACCCCAGAGCATCCAGTGGCCCGCCTCCAGGCCCTGAATGGAGGTCTTTGAACTGCTCAGACTGGAGTTCGTTCCCTCTCGAAGAAAAATGCTTCCTTCTGGAAGTAACTTGGTTTATGTGACCTGTAGAGGAAACTTATCTTGAGGATCAGGCACACAGAAGGAATCAAGGAACTAAATCAAGGAAGTTGCTGACTTTTTATTTCCCCCTTGGGTCACTTCCCTTTTTCCCAAGGCCCCCATTTTTCTACCTGTTCTGATAGGACTTGTAGCTTCTTGGAGGAAATCAAAGTGCATAGACAGATCTCAGTCTGCTGAACTATTTTCTTTCAAAACTTTTGTCCTTGTTTGCTTTGGAATTTGAGGAAAACTGGCTCTGTGGATTGGGCAGGTTCGATTCCCAGTCAGGGCACATGCCTGGGTTGCAGGCCAGGTCCCCAGCATGGGGTGTGCAAGAGGCAACCACACATTGATGTTTCTCTCCCTCTCTTTCTTCTTCCCTTCCCCTCTCTGTAAAAATAAATAAATGAAATCTTAAAAAAAAGGAAATTTGAGGAAAACTTTCTACTGATTAGACTGTTTCAGGTGTAAAATCTTTCTTTAGGAAACTCTAGGCTCCAGACACCCAACCAATAGCATGAAGGAAAGAACTCGACTTTAAACATTAGAAGAAAAGAAGGAATGGAGAGTCAAGCAGAACGGAAGAGTAAGAAACTAGGGCTGACTTGAGCCCTTACTGGGAGCAAGTACCTCGACATTTATTCAGGCGATGGAATCCACTTTGAGGATTGGGGCCCTGAAAGGTGGAAAAGCTGAAGCCTAGCAAAGTGGGAGGCTGGGACCAGATGCATCAGAAGAGGTCCCTTTCTGCCATGACCACGGAAGGTGATCCCACTACATGAAAGCTGATCAATCACCAAGGACGCTGAGGAAGAGTGAGCCACATCCTTTGTCCTGCTTCTCCAACCTGCTAGCACAGACCTGGAGTGAGGGTGATGGGCCACTCAGCACAGATTCACCACTGTTACAGTGGAAAAAAGAAGCCCATCTCACTGAGACGTGCTAAGGGCATCATTCCAAAACTGGGAGCCAAGTTTCCAGCCTTTGTTCTTTTGGATATGAGGTGGATATCTCTCCTCTCACCCCTCTTGCCATCTCTACTCACCAGCTGAACTTAACTGACATTCATGTGTTACATTGCATTATACAACACCTTTGTTTGGGTGCTCTGGGATGGACAAGGAATTTCAGTGCTGGGCTTGGAGCACTTTCAAAGAAGTCAAGACCAGTAGAGGGGCCATCACAGTGCTCAGCTGCAGATGAGTGAGGCTGCCTTGACCGACTGGTCCCATCTACAGTACTCTCTATATGAAAGACCCACTAAGTACTGGCTCATTTTTGGTCTGAGAGGAAGGTGATCATTTGTGGATCAGGAAAGGGGTAATGTGATGGTAATGCTTTCTTAGGTGTAAGCTAAAGTAAGTGAATTGTATTTATACACCATGCTGCATTTTATAGTATGCTATAAACTTTTCTTTACTCCTCTTTCTACCTGGGCAAGAGATACATTTTAGGGATAAAAAAATTCAACCCAAATTTCACAAGTTATAGATTTCTTGGAAAATGTTCTGCTTCTGCAGAATCTCTCAGTAGAATTAGTAGACTGATTGAGCTGATTGGATTTTTCAAGACTTTATTGTCACTTTTCCGCTATGGCTGGTAGCAAAATTGGTTTAGGGGTGGAATGTATTTAAAAGAGTGATCCCCAGTCTTTTTGGCACCAGGGACCGGTTTTATGGAAGACAATTTTTCCACTGATGGGGGAAGGGGATAGGAGGATGGTCTCAGGATGATTCAAGCTCATTACATTCAAGCTTACCTCCTGCCGTGTGGCCCGGTTCCTAACAGGCCCTGAAGGGTACCAGTCCATGCTTGGAGGCTGGGGATGCCAGATTTAAGACATTAACCACCTGTGTCCTCTGCAAGAGGACCTTGGACAGGCCAGCATAGGGCGTTCTCTCTGGACTTGTTTCTTCCCGTGTGAAATACAGGATGTTGTGCAATAGCTTGTATTTTTCTTCAGCACTGTGTCTGGCACTTTGCTATGCTTTTTACGTGGATTGTCTTGTGTAACCTTCACAACAGCCCAGTTTACAAATGGTGAAACAAAGGGTAAGAGGTGGGCACCTGCTAGCAAATGTCAATGTGGTCCCATTTCTGAGCCCATGTCCTTAGGAATTTCCAGTATTATGGATGAGATCTTTTCCAGCTCTAGAAAACATGAGTTCAGCATAACCCTCTTGCCCAAAATAATCTCCTAAAGTGGAAGTAAGGGGCCTGGAGTAATTTACACCAAGAGAATGAACACAAATGACAAAGGAGAGCCTTCCAGCTCTAGGCCAAGCATCTGGCTCCCCCCACCCCCAGCCTGTTTCCTATCATCTTGCAATCTGGCAACAGCCTCCCCTCCCACACAGAGTGGGCCCTGCCGCCTGCAAAGCTGTGTACTGACAGTGTGAGAAGCTGCCTTCTGAAAGGGTTTCAGGGCTGGCTGTGGTAAGTGCTCCCACTCAAGTCTCCACTTCTACCGAGGACCGACTGATCGAGTGACTCTCACAAGAGTCCCACCGCAGCCTGAAGAAAATGATCAGGATAATTCCGTTCATAAAAATCTGTTTAATAAATATACATCTTAGAAGTAGCAAAATAATTACCAACAAAATACACTATGTACACCATTTACAGGAGGGTAACCCAAACCTTGACAGGCAGCGACTGTTAACCCCACACCATTGAAAGGTTCAACAACACGCTTCATTGTCACTCATCACAGGACACAACTGGGCTCAGCCACTCAATACACGAAGGTTCAGTCAGAAAGCACAATAAATAAAATCAGTCCTTTCATCAGAGTTTGGATAACCTTCTCAAAAAAACCCATGATGGTGAGGTTTCAAAGAGATTTGCTTTGAATTCCAATGATCTTTCTTGTCCCCTTCCAAAGTTCTTAAAAAGAATACAGGCTGATCCACTCCAGGAAAATGTTTTGGGCCAGGCAGTGTGCAGTGTGGTTATAAGAACACCCTTTTGATTTTTTTCTTTTTTCTTTTTTTTTAGAAAAATAAAACTCTCTTTCTGTACAAATATACAAGTTCATGTTCTTTTAGACACTTTGTGAAGCTCATAACGTCAGGCGCTGGCCTCCAATAACGCAGTCGTCATAGGGCAGCTAAAATCAAAAGGGAAAACAGGCACGTTAACCTTCAGAGCTCTGCCAGGGGTGCTGGGACAATGGTGAGGCTGCTACTGGAAATGAGTGAAGTATTTGTGGACTTCATTCTCTATACTCCAAGTATAAATTAACTTCACAGGCTGAGGGAGTTTTGCTTTAATGCTCCTCTCCTTAAAAGCCAAAGAGAAAAGACACACTCTTGTGATACTGGTTATCCACACTAAAGTCGGAGAGCTTCACTATGTGACACCTTTGGATGCAGAGTATGGCTCTAGGGGCCTGGGAGGGTGAAGGGAGAACAGCCATTCTCATTGTTTTTTGCAGAGCAAAATTGAGACTTACCTCATCCTCTGTGAACTCGGACTCTGTATCATAGCTCTCCTCATCCTCACTCTCTGGCAGCATCTGAAGGTTTTCTAGGGTCAGCTGGCCCAGCTGCTGCTGTATCCGGGTGCTTGGGCGGCCCCAGGTAAGCTGGTATGGGGAGTAGCCCTGGTAGGTGACTCTGTTGACATCAGCCCCACACTTCAGCAGGAGAGACACCAGGTCAGGATTCTGCAGGTCCACCGCAAGATGAAGGGCAGTTCGACCATTACAGGGCTCCTGAAACCAAAAGGAATTTGAGATGTTTACCGCTGAGCCTGGAATTTTGGCTTGCAACAAAAGCACATGAAATCCTGGGAAGGAGGGCCCTAGAGCCCAGTGCACTACTGCATTTGGAGGCAGGAAGCACTCACCTGAGCATTGACATCAGCACCCAGGGACACCAGAAGCTCCACGATGCCCAAGTAGCCATGGATAGAGGCTAAGTGCAGACACGTGTGACCTAGAAGAACAAAAGGAAGAAAGTATAAGCACTTGTTTCAACCCTCACATCTCAAGCAGAATCTTTCCCCTGTTCCTTTAAGGAACAAATTCTACTGAAAAACCTGGTTTCTGAATTAGCTTTATAAAGGCATCAAATAGGCCTTTTGTATAGGTTGTTTTCTTAGCCTTTTACATGTTGAGAGTTTTTAAGCCCTTGCCTGGAATCCTTAAGTTAGCCCACCTCCCCCTTCTCCATGTCAGCTGCCCTCTGATAGGAGGGCAGGGCAGGGCAGGGCAGGCGGACGTACCATTGTAGTTGGTGGCCTGCAGGATGGAGTGGAGGTGCTGGGTCCCACAGCTCTGAGTCAGAACTCCCACACTGGCCAGGCAGCCCTGCTCACAGGCAAGGTGTAGGGGGGTATTTCCTCGAAAGTCACGGAGCTCAGGATCACAGCCAGCTCCCAGAAGTGCCTCAGTAATTTCTGGCTGGTTGGTGATCACAGCCAAGTGGAGTGGAGTCTACAAACAGAAGGAGGAACAGAGACACTGTAAGTCATGGACCAAATCCACAGTCTGTTTTCTGGAGACCCAGAGATTCCCTAGGTTGTGGGTGCTGCTCCTCCCAGACAGGTGCAAGGGGACAGGCAAATACGAGAGGTCATAGGTGGCCTTCATAAAAGTCTCACCAAATTAATGCAATTTTCTTTACTTTCTACAATGTTGGCTGATTCGAATGTAAAAGGTCAGGTCGAATACAAACCACTGACCATTTTATAGAGAATTAGGAGCAACTGCTAGATCCCAGGGTCAGAGAGGCAGGGGCTAGGCCAGAGGCGCACCTGCTGCAGGTTGTTCTGGAAGTTAAGAAAGGCCAGGTCTCCCTTCACTTGGCGGACCACTTCCATTGTCAGTGCCTTCTCTTCATGGATGATAGCCAAGTGCAAGAACCTGAGGGGAAGAGAGGGAAAAACCCCCAGGGTGAGTACAATGCGTGGGGCCCAGGGAGGTGCGGGCTGCGGGGGATTGCGCAAGGCCGGGGTTTCTGGAGGCCGAGGCCGCGGTGTTTTCCGCGAGGTTATTATGAGCTGAGTGTTCCTGGCAGGCGCCCAGGGACTTTCCGGGCTCACCCCCCCACCTCCCCGAGGGCGCCGACCAGACCGCCCCGCCCTCCCGCCGGGCCGGAACGCCTTGTACTTCCCCTCCCGGCCGCTCGGCGCCCGCCAGCCGGGCAGAAACTCCCGCCTCCCTTTGCAAGTGGGGACTTCGCGTCCGCGTTGCCGCCCCGCCCCCGGCCGAGAGGACCTGGACTGGGGGTGGGGGTTGTGCACGGCTGCAAGGCCGAGCTGTGGAACCGCGGCCCCGGGAACTAACCCTGGCCCTCTACTCCCATGCACCTCTGCACGGTCTCGGGGTCGGTGCAAAACGCGGGGTCCACAGTCGCTTCGCGGGCCCGCGACGCGCGCTGCAGGCCCTGAGCCCCCATCCAGCCCTGCCACCTGGGCCCGAGACACTTACGAGTCTCCGTCCTCGGTGAGCTGCTGCTTCCAGGGCTCTGGGCTAAGCGGTGCCACCAGCGGCTGGAGGCGGATCTCCCGCAGCTCCTTCACCATCTGCTCGTAGTCCTCGTCCTTCATGGAGTCCAGGCCGCTGTCGTGGCGGTCATCCAGCAACCGCTCCTTCTTGAGCGCGTCCCGGGGGCCCTCCATGGCCCAGTCCTGGGCGTGCTCGGCAGGGTGAAACATGGCCGTGGTGACTGTTCGGGCGCTGCTCCGTAGGTGCGCTCAGCTGCGGGCTTCGCGATCGCTCCCTCGCAGTGTGGCAGGCAGGCGGGAGGGCTGGCTGGGGCAGTTGTGGGCTCGGCAGCGCCGCCGCGGCGCCCTATAAACGCTGGCAGGGGATTTCTCAGGGGCGGGGTCAGGCGCGGGGAATTTCCAAGCCAGTCAGACCAGAAAAGAGAACTGGCCTCGTCTTTAAGCTAGGGGAAAAGCAATTTAAACCCTGAGCCGGGGTTCATCAGAGAAACTCCCTGTGATGAGCCACTGGGGTCATGTACAGGGAACTTTTTGATGAAAGCTGAGTGGCTGGAAAGTCCTCCTGACAAGGCCCCCTCCCCCGGTACTTCCCTGCAGCCTGCTCTCAGTAATCTTGTCCCTCTGCAATAAACCTTTCCCTGCTTGGGGTTTCCCACGATAGATTGGACTGGGGTCGTCGGCTGCTGAGATCCCAAGGACACAGACTTGGTTCCTCGTTGGGGTTTGCCAACCTGCCTGTCTTTTCCGTTTTTTGATCTTTTGAAAAAGCGAGTGGAAGTGATGGCCGGGTGTAGGGATTTGTTTCCCCAAACTTCCCTGAGCCGGGGAGGGCGCACTGGTGGTGAGAAGGGCTGCCTCTGCGTTCCTGCCGATTGCAGGTTCTTTGCAGCACAGGGACAAGCAGCACTCACCTAGCCCCTTTCTCAGGTAGAAGTTGTGGAAGTTTTAGCGTTAAAAATATAAATGCTTGGAGAATCCTCAAACCATTTTTTAGAGATTAACAACTCTGTTGACGGCGCGGGGCGGTGGGGGGGGCGGGGGGGGCGGGGGAGGGGCAAGCACTCAGCCCTTATGCAGGTGGAGGGGGCGAATTCTGAATGTCAGCATAATTTTTTTCAAGTAGGGTAAGGTGTTACATTTTTGTAGTAGAGGTTATAGATACCTTGCAATAGCAAAATAATTGTTGGGGTCGTCTTCCCTGATTGATTTGCACTGTGCTGCTGCAGAGAATGGATCCTGAGCCTTATCCTGGGTGACCAGCTGGGTGACTTTCCAGAAGCATTTGGCGGAGGCAGAAGAATGGGTTAAGTAGTGCCTTTCCCAAGATTGAGCCTTAAGGACAGCTAAGAATGTGGCTGCTAGGCATTCTGCAGGAGGCTAAAGGCAGTCCTAACATTTCCCCTTCCTGCCCACCCTGGCTTCTTGCTGTGGTGTCCTGGGGAGGGCAGCAGTTGGACATAGCCACGCAGTGTGGGTAGCACTACAGGCCCACTATCCTCTGGCTTCACCTCAGAAATAAGCCCCTCTTTGCACCTCCACCCCCTAGCCAACAAGCCACAAATTGCATCGATTTACTTTTAGAATTGGTCCAGGCAAAACAAAGCAACTTCTGCCAGAGTTCTTCAGAATTAGCCCAAGGAGACCTCTCTAGTTTTGTAGAGCTTTCTGGCAATGGTTGCAGTTACCTTGAACTTGACTGGTCATGTACTAACTAACCTGTCTCTTCTCTGAATCTCCCCCTCCCCACCCCCAATATCTGAATGTAGGGGACCTGGGTCAGTTGGAGTGACAAACAAAATATGAGGGGGAAAAAAGTAAAACCAAGAAATAAAACCTCAGGGTAGTAATGATGGCATGCCAAAACGAAAACTTCCCAGTGATGGTCTCCATTGTCTCCATGAGCGTGTGATACACAAACATTCCATTTTTGAGGCAATGTGGAACAGTGACTGTGAAGTACATCTCAGGTCCAGCCTCTGCTTCTAATTAACTGCATATTAATTGGAGAGATCAGTTAACTTTGCTGTGGTATACCTGCTTTTATAATAATAAGATTGGATCTAATGCTATTTAGCTTAATTTTTTAAAATTTTTATCATCTTAAAAATTGTATTACTTGCCCACAAATGCATGTATAACTCTGCTTAAGGGTGAACATGTCTCTTGGAAATTCACAGTATACATTTTTGGAAGTACTCCAACACTTTAAGTAGCACATTGTTCTCAGAACTAATCTTGTAAGATAAATCTTGTTCCTACTTTCCTAAAAAGAAACTGAAATGCAGAGAAACTTACCTAGGTACCCTGTGGTGGTTTGTCCAATTCATATTCCAACACTTTAATCGTTGGGCCAAAGTAGTTGTACTATTAACAGTTTTGAAAATACATTTCGAAAACGAGACTGAATACACTAGAATTTGGAAAATATATATTTTATTTCTTCTTCTTTTTAATAAATTCTCATCCAAGAACATTTTTTCATTGCTTTTAGGGAGAGAGGAAAGGAGGAAAAACATCGATTAGCCCTGTAAGGGGGCCTACCAGGGATCGAACCTACAATCTTTGCTTCAGAGGACAACACTCCAACCGACTGAGTCACACCAGGCAGAGCTAATTTGGAAAATGTTTCCTACAAGTATTTTCTACCCCAATTGTCAGGGGAACATCTACCACTCTCTATTTTATCTCTATGAGGATATGTATGTCTAAAAAAGTACAGAAATGTCACATTCTAAATGCCCCACTAGTAAAGGATAACATAGAAGAGGACTTCTAGCCGCAGGTTTAAAATAATTATTGAAAAGAAAATTGTGTGTAAGTGAAAAGTATCACAGAATTAAGTATCTTTGCACCTCCCTTTATGGCTCTGTGGTGGCCTTCAGGGCCTGGTGGTCTTTATTCCTGATTGCTTAGTGTGACACCTAGTGGTAAGAGTCAGTCCCAGGTATTCCCTCATTTGTCAGAGTGGTTTTGGAAATTTTGGGAGGTGCTGAGCTTTGATGACCTGTCCCTATAGTGGGGATTCCCAGGAGGTACCTTTTGTTTTTCTGCAACCTGGGAGACGGTTTTGAATATTGTGATCCAGCAGGTTTTCTCTGTCATGTGTATGAGCTCTATAGGGCTTAAGTACAAACATTGCAAGTTGGGCAATAAAGAACGTACTTGGAAATCAGAAAACATGAGCAGAAGGGGCAGAAGAAGACAGCAGAATGGATTTTTGGTTTAGAAAGACCTTTCTGGACTCTTGGGCACTTAGACTTCTCCCCAATTTGTTGTCAAACGTTTTTGATAATCTTGATCATCTTAAAGGTGTCAATTAAACCATAGGTAAATCACTTTTAATATCATTTGGCTTTTTTTTTAATACAAAAGGCAAAAGAATGAATAAGTTAACCTCGAAGCTGCTTTGCATTTTGGCACAGAAAGCAGCCACAGGGAATGACGGGATGGCCGGTGATGTGGAAGGGCTTCACTGTGGGCAGGAGCACCCTCGTGGGGAAGGAGCGTCCTAAGTGCCTGGTGTGATTTCTTGCACTCTTTCTGGGTGGGAAATGCACAATATGAACCAAACCTACTGCCTGAAGTGCCCAGTGGCCTGGCAGTGTGGGGATTTTTCTTTAAGCTCAGCCAAGTGGTCCAACATTTGGCTTTTCTTACTTCATGGGCAGAGTGTTCTGTGTCAGTTGCCCTGGCCCATTCCACCAAAATTGTTTTAACCCCAGTAACTTGAATGCAGCCAGGCTGGAAGAGAGAGGAGTGAGGATGGAGTCCGGCCACTGCTGTGGACAGCCCTGCAATGAAATTCTGAATTTATATTCTGCCTCCAGTCCCAGGCTCAGTCTTCTTTCCTCCTGTTGTGGTGAGCAACCACCTCTATCTATCCGCCTTGAAACCTGAAGCTCCCAAGCCCTGGATTTTGCCACAGAAAAACAGTCGTCAGGACCTTCATTCATAGTGACCTGAAGATAAGGCTGTTGAAAGCTTTATGTATTTCTTTTGCTATGCATTCTGCAATTTAATAAGGATCAAGACTTTAAGGGGTACCAAACTCAATTACCTACCCACAGTGGCCAGGGGCCGGGCGGTTTTCACAGAGCATTGAAGCCAACCAAGTGAGTCCCAGGGGGCGTGACAGCGTCTCTGACAGTCCAGACCTGAGAGGGCACGTCTCTCACACTCAGCTCACACACTTTTGCCAAACAGCACTTTGAGTTCAGTACTGATATCCCCTTGTGAAAGAAAAAAATCAGAAGATGGATTTTGGTGTGAACATTTAAAAATTTTACAATATTGTGTAAACCAAACAAAATACACTTCTGCATCCTTTGGCTACACAGAGCACACAGGCCCTGAGTTTATAACCTGTCTTTCAGCCAAGGTGCTACCTTCTCACAGGGCCTTGGGGGCAGGCACCTGCCTTTGGCTCCCTGGGCAGTTGGAGTCACGGGGTCTCTGCCTCTCTGTATGGCTGGAGGCTGGGGGGAGTGTGTCTGTCCAGGAATTTTGGTCTGCCTCTGGCAGGCAGGTTGGAACCAGAGAGTCTAAGCCCTGAAAAACTATTTTTCTGTCCCTGCAGATTGTTAAATACATGGTAAAATAAAAATAACAAGTTCAGTAACTTCTGTCTTTTCTCACAAAGACTACTTGGGTTTTTTTTTTGTTGTTGTTTGTTTCTTCATTGTGCTCTCTTTTCAAACTCAGATGCTTTCTGTAAACATCTCCTTGAGGGGTCCCTGCTGTGCTGGTACCTTGGCCAGCCACGCACCCAGTCTTCCTGTTGGGCGACCTGCTGCCTGGGAAGGAGGAGGCCTGCACGTGTCCGCCCTGCATGTGACAGCCCGCGGCCAAAATCTCTGGCTCTCCCTTTTCACTGTTTGTTAGTGGTAACCACGGAATACCTGTAGGTGTGCAGGTTGCTCATGTTCTACTGTGTTTGGGGAGGAGTGGTTGGATGAGGAAGGGGTGGAGGCACATTGCTTCCTCTTCATGTCAGTGTAGGTGCTCTTTTGTCTTTGGGGTAGATTCATCTTGAGTTTAGTCAGGGTGGGAGGAGGCTGAGCACTAGGGCAGTTCTATGCAAAGGCCTGGTGTCCTGGGCACCCTCACCAGGTGAGGGGCTCACAGCCCTTTTCAGTATCAGAGACCACCTCCACCACCAGAAACTATTTTTTTCCTTTATGGTCCAAGGTCTGGGGCATGGGTTAGGATAAAGGTAAACAGAATCATAGCTGCTAAAAAATGTATGCTTTACAAATAGAGTAAAGATTTAGGAACCTGGATCCACAGCTCTTTCTTGTAATCACTAAGGTATAATCTTTCCCAGCCCCCTTTTA